GAGAGGGAGGGAGAGAGAGAGAGAGAAAGAGGGAAGAAAACAGATGCATCACGTAATATCCAAGAGATGAAGTTATGCTGGTACGTTCGAAATCATCCTAACGCCGCAACATTTATCTAGGAAATCACATTTGAGGAAGTGATATTTGCATTGTTTTGGGATACTATTATCACTCATTCTCAGGAACAAATATTTATTAAATCATAAACAGGCCGAGATGAAGAGGAGGAAAAGAAAAAGGCGGGTCAACTACCCTGCAACGGTCTTACCCCTCCTTCTCCTCTATCCATCCCAGCTGAAACAGTTCCACGGTCAACATCGGATCAACATTAAAGTCTTCATATAAAAGGAGCTATCCGCCAAGTGATACCGTGAAGCAGCCGCAATATCAAGTATCCGCCCGTTCTGTTTAGATAATGGCAAACTTCCTACCATCGAATTACTTATTTTTACTACTGTTGATATTAATACTTGGTGATCGAATCAGTACTATTCCAATTGACAACGGTGTTGAGGGTGAGCCTGAAATCGAATGTGGCCCAGCATCAGTTACTGTTAATTTCAATACGAGGAATTCATTTGAAGGTTTTTTTTTTTCAAATTATAATATTTGTTTTAAATCAGAATTTCAATAATGGCTGCTGAAAATTGCTTAGTCCAGTCACTTTATACTTCCTCTTTCCTGTTTGCCTAAAATGTCCTCATATTTTTTACAAGTGTCACTTTTCACTTGTCTTTTCTGATGCTTATCGCAAGCTTAACAATCCAAACATGAGTGAACGAAGTATGATCAATTTGGTTAAACTAATGCAATTAAATCGGAAAAAGTTCATTTCGGGAGAAGCTTATTACTTATTTATTGAGATACAAAAGTTTTTAAATAATTTTAGAAGTTGGTCGGGACGTTTTTATCTGATTTGTCAGAAATTCAACAAAACAGCATAATTAGTTAAGTCGGTTTTCATTAAATTTTTCATAAAATTAAAGTCAAAAGTCCTCTAAGAGTACCAGAATGTTTCTTTAGTCCTTGTTTAAGTGAGCAGATACCAATCGAAATTCAGATCCCTGGTTTAGAAGAAACTTGGAGACATATTTTTGAGACGGATTAACATTGCATTTCATTTCACTTCTTACCACTGTGGATCTCCCCTCATTACAGCATAATTTGAAACGTGAGACATTTGATGACAGATGCGAATCACCACTGAATTGTATTTTTTAATTTAATTTACCGAAGGTAGTAAAGAGAAAATTCATGCTGTCATTTTCTTCTTTTGCTTATTCCATTTTCATGAGCGCAGGCACTTGAACTGATTTCAAATTTCTTTTTGCTGTTCACAAACATAATTTGAAACTCTTTTTTATGACTTATGCATCAACGAAAATTCAATAACAATTAGGTTTCTATTATTCAGGACATGTCTATGTGAAGGGTCTATACGATCAACAAGATTGCCGATCAGATGCAGGCGGTCGTCAGGTAGCAGGAATAGAAATTTTGTTTGGTACGTGCAATGTGGTACGGACGAGATCTGTAAATCCACGTGGTATCTTCGTCACAATCACTGTTGTCATCTCGTTTCATCCACTCTTCATTACCAAAATTGATCGTGCGTACCGCATAGAGTGCTTTTATATGGAAGCTGATAAAACCGTGAGCAGCCAAATTGAAGTCTCTGAAATTACCACTGCTTTCCAAACTCAATTGATTCCAATGCCCATTTGTCGATATGAGGTCACTTACTGATTTGTTCATTATCAATTAACACAAGTATAATTATAAAGAGGTCAAATTAAAAAGAAAAAAGGAGAGTTAATTTATTGTCATCTTTAGTTAATCGTTAACTTTAAGCACATATGAATATTTGAAATGAAGGACTTTTTTCTTCATGAAACACAAAATCTGCTTTCAACTCTTTTATCTCACTTTTCAGATTTCTTCATCTTCTATTCCAAAAAACTTTCTGAGTAAGTCATGCTTAAAGTATCATATCTGAGATTTCATGAATTTTCATTTTTAGTCTTTAATCGAGTGATTTTATCGAATAATGCTTATTAAATTATATTTTATTGTAATTATATCCTATCGATCACTGAATTTCAGCTTTTGGATGGTGGCCCAACTGGACAACCGATTCAATTCGCAACGGTCGGTCAACCAATATATCACAAGTGGACTTGTGATTCAGAAACTGTGGATACATTTTGCACATTGGTACATTCATGTTTCGTTGACGATGGTAACGGTGATACGGTACAAATATTAAACGATGAAGGCTGTGCTTTGGATAAATACCTACTGAATAACTTAGAATATCCAACCGATCTAATGGCTGGACAAGAAGCCCACGTATATAAGTATGCCGATCGATCACAACTTTTCTATCAATGTCAAATAACAATCACTATCAAAGAACCAAATGCTGATTGTGAACGACCGAAATGTCCAGAACCAGTAGGATTCGGTGCAATCAAACAAAGTAGCAGGACAAGTCGTGCAACACTAAATGCATCAGAAACATCCGCATCACATATGAGATTATTGAAAAAGAGAGCTGCTAATTATGACAATACGGTAGATGTCAGGACTGATATCAACACACTGGATATCATTGATGAGGTTTGAATTTGTTTCTTCATTTTCAGAATCTAATTTGAATTGAAATGGAAAAATATCTCCATAGGAATATCTGCTAGCTACCAAATATTCCATCTTCGCCAACCTTATTACAAAATGCATTTACACTTTTGAAATATTTACAGTTAGCAGGAAATTTTTAATGGAAACCATCGAATCGGAATCACTTGCTCTGACCATCGGTCATTTTCACAAACACACATTCAAAGTACTTCTTAATCATATTTAAATGGTAAGGAGGGAATAGGTTTAATTCCTCCAATTTAGTTTTACTTCATCAGTTTGAGTTGAATGCATTCAAAATTTTCATCAAAATTTCAAAGTTAATTTTAAAAAAAAGCAGCATGAAATCACTATGAAATGTCGATGTCAAATAAGCCAATTTTTTTTATTATCAAATGTTGCTAAAAGCATCAAATGGAATGAAGTCAATCTTGAGTCATCTGCTCCTTCCCAAATTGCGAGATTTACAAAAATCATCATATGGTAGCAGGATTCCGGAAAACTGGTTCTCGATAAATATGAAGATATATTATATTTTAACTTCAACATTATGTGGGGTCAAGTCGAAACCTCCTCCGCTTCTTCTTGATGACTTGGATTGACTTAAATTACAAGGAAAAGTTAGAACAGTTTTTTTTCTTCAAAAAGTGGCGTTTTTGCAAATATGAATTATTCAAGAAAAAAACTTTGTATTTGTTTAAGTTGCCATTCTACGAAGTGAACAACTAGAGAAACTTTACTCTATCACTGTAGAATCCAAGTTCTATTACGTTTATTTGTTAGGGCTGAAGAGTTCTTTTTTGTGGTACTAAGCTTACAGTACCTTTGTTGCATGAAAATGTACCACGCAAAAATTGGATGCGCTAATATATGAGTATACTTGTAATACATACCGTAAATGATGGATTCCCAAAATTTATTTTCAATTAAACTTGCAGAGCACAATACTACTAGAAGATTTGCGGTATCGGACGCGATTACACGAGTACGATGATCGTGATCGTGATGTTGTTTGCATGTCACCTGCGACATTCTATCTACTTATTGCAGTTAGTGCACTAATAATGGCTACATTCATCGTATATGTTTCCCACTTACGTAAACGAAAATTATGGGCATTGTTTTAGCAAAATGCTACAAAACTGATAGTAATTCCAACTGCATCTTGGCATTCCAACTGCATCTTGGCAGGATAACGTGAGCGCTTTTATGTTTAGTGGGAATGATCGATGATGCTCGTGCAGCCTTTCGATTACTTTTGGAAAAACATTTATTTATTTGTCTTTCAATACTAATGTGTGTTATCACTTTATCACTTTATTGTACAATATACGCTCCATTATGCAATATATTACAAATGTCTTTCGTGATATGCCATCCATTTTTTTCGAACTGATAATCAGTAAATTGAGATCAGTGCATATTTTGGAAACTGTTAACAGTATTTTTAATACAAAAATTAGCTGATGGCATTCAGTGTGTCATATTCCTTATCTTATTTTATCAATCACATTGGCTTCATTCCTCTGTTGTTCAAACAGTTTCGGAATTGGTTTTTTTACAATATGGAAAATTGAAAATTTACAAACTTTGATTGGAGAAAATCTGTTAGATTCATTGAGCTACTAGATGTAAATATTTCAAAAATAATAAAAGATTGTGGAGGAATTAATTTTGGCAATTCAGTGGTTTTCAGAATAGAGACAGGAGCTTACGGGTGGGATACAGATGACAGATACAGGGAACTGAAAAAAGAGTATTAGAAATGAAAATGGTACTGGTCATTGATCGCCAGTTGGACATCTAATCGTTTTTGACACAACAGTAGATAAACAGAGATAAACTTTTATGTGAAACGTTGGATACCGCTACTGCTGTTGTTGTTATTAGTGTTAAATTGCAAATCAGCCATTTCATTGTTTTGAAATGAAATTCAAATCGGGATATCTTAGATATAGTCGAATAGTATCCTTACGTAGGAGGCATCATTCAGTGACCCTTTCTGCTCTATTCTTCTATCCGTCTCTCTAATTAAACTTTCTTATCGAAAATTGCTATCACTGTTAACGGAGAAAATATATGCCAGTGAAAATAACATTTTAAAACTCTCGTTTTCAATTGCTCAACTTCCCAAACTCAACCGGTTTTTGGAATTCCTATCGAGAAAAACATGAACTGGTGAAGGTTGATAAGATGATCATCTTTCTGGTTATATGGCACTGATGAATTATTATTGTCGCCGTGCTCGCTAACGAATTCACAACAACGTAAATCTAAATTCTGACAGAAGGATCGATCTCAAATACTTCAGAATCATTTGCTGAAGTGATTTTGTTTAAATGACTGGAAAATGAAATTATGAAAAAAGAACGATAGTGGAAAGAATTGCATAAGGGAAATGAAATGAAATGGGAGGGAATCAGTGTAATGTAATGAAACCAATTGTTGTAAAGAATTTCAGGCCTGAATTTTTATCGAAAAATTAAACTTTTACTCTCTTTGTAAAAGCAGTAAAGTGGTTTACTGTTTGTTTTAGGTTAATATGTCCAATTTCATCAAATTCGAATTTAAATTTCCAAGTTGGTGACGAAGTAAAAAACAGCTGCCAAATCTTTTTCTGGATTTTCAACAAAACTTTTTACTAATTTTATAATTATCGTCATATCAGTATTGTATGAGCTTATATTTTTATAAACTGTTTGATGAAATATTCCTTTACATTTAATACTTCAAATGTACTTATTCGAATACTAATCCTATCATTTTATCACGTCCCGCTTCTTTGCACTGTTATGATTTGTTGCACATGCTGTATTATAGTCTTTTGCGCCATCCTTGCAAGATATATTCCTCATAAATATATTTTTTAACTTTGCAGCAATTTTCCAAACTAACATATCCAAGAATTGCAGCAAACAATTAACTGTATTTCGAGAATTTACATTCAAAATGCGCTTTTCAAATTATTTTAAATAAACTGTTTTTTGCTCATTTCTGAAATTATGTCGAACTGTTTATTTTTTAAATTCAAAATTTCCGGCCGAAAGATAGTCGGAGCTTTGAATAAATTTCTGTACAGTTGTATTTTTAAATGTGTTGGTAGAAATTTTGTTAAAGTTTCACATGAGTGCATCGCTTTTCCCACACTAAAATAAAATTAATTTTAAATCAATAACCTTGCGCAGGTTTAAATTGATTTTTATCAAAATTTCTATTCTTTATATGCTCAAAACTTACGTGTTGACAAGTCTCTCTTCAAAAGGAAAATTCATTATTCACAATGAAATATTGAGCATTTTAAAACAATGGAACTTAATTACAATGCACACAAAAAATGATTGATGAAAACAATTTCCAAAAAAAAATCCAAAAATTTTCTGGGAAAAGCAATTTTAACAGCAATAAATTGATTTTTTCCTCTTACAGATGAAATACAAAATATGTAAATTTGCGTATATATACAAATGGCAAGACAGTAACTTACCATTCTGAAAATGGCGGAAGAAGAAACAGTTAAAAAGGCAAAATTAAAGCCTGAATTAGGGTTCTGCTGCAAGATTCCAATAAAGCATTTCCCAAATACCACACAGCTCAGAGATTTTTTTTTAAATTTTGACCAGTGATTTTGATTTCTGCATCAATAGCTTTTCCTTAACGAGTTTTCCTGGCAACAACGGAACAAAATCCAATGGGTCCATCTCTTCGAATGGAACATTGTTATCGAACTTAATATACTCTGAAACTTTGAATAATTCAATCATTCAACTTTTTTAAGCAACAAAATGAAATCATAAAGTAGCGATAGAAAATTTTGCTAATTCTCTTATAGTTAGCTTTGACTTTTACCACCAAAGTCATAACACAGTTAACCAAACTTAACTTCGTTATCACAAATCTATATTTGTTGTCAGTTGTCCCATGAACCTATGAAGGGTGATTATTTTAGGATGTCAAATAGTAATGCAACAAACTTCATGTCTAAATTCCATTGGGATATTTGTGTATTTGAAATAAAAGGAGAATCGAAGTGGAGTAACAGAAAAAGTAGAAATTAGTTAAATTAAAATTACATTTCCGAAAATGTACCTTCAAAATGATATAAAAAAGTAATTTTTGATGGGAAATATTTTGGATTCCTTAACAACCAGTTTTTTCAATAATTTTCCAAAAAAAAGCGTAAGTTAATGAGAGAGCGACAAAGAAACCGGTATGACTCAATAATTTAAGTTACTTAAAAATACTCAATTTATCGGGTCAACAATATTAATTTAAAGCAAAGCGTAAGGTAATTAATTTTTATGATTCTAGAAGATCCATTTTGATTTCATGCAGCACAACCTTCTTCGTTCTAAAAATCATTTCCTGTCAATTTTAGATGAACTGTTCAACTGGACAGATACTCCCACTACTGATTTTTTTCTTGAAAGCACAATATTAAGAGATTTATTAGCAATTAATTTCATTTGAAATGAGTTGACCAAAATGGAAAAAATTAATGTCATTATGTGGTCATACAATTTCAAAGCATCTATTCCTCATGAAATTCTGCTTACGGTTCTTTATTTCCGTTCGTAAAGATGAGCTAATGTTTCTGAACAATATGTATCACTATTTGTGCGAAAGAAAGAGAAACTAACCGGACATTTCCAGTCCACCATCATGATTCTTATCGAATGAATCAAATATAGACTGGAAATTGGAACGAGGTTTCAAGGCATATCGTTTGGTCAAGATTCTTTTCACTTCCTTGATGTCCAGTTTCGAATCAAAGTTCACATCGAATTCCTGCAATTCTCTTTCACTTTAACTTAATGAACTGTTACTCTGAATTCTATGAATTCTTAAATACTATTACTACGAGAAGTCTCTCTTTCCTTATCCGTAACTGAAAATTTTAACAAATATTACTCTTTTGGAATGCGACACGGTTTCTCCTCTCATAAGTTTCATGTCAAAATGGATCTCTAATGTATACAATATTCTAGAAATATTATAGTATTCTGGAATTCTAGAGCGATATATCATACAGTGTTCTTGAAATATTGATACGCTTTCTAGTTTTTATTCAATTTATCGGTCTCCTCCACCCTAAATGAACCATCTTTCTTGGTTAATCACGTCATTAACTCTTATCAACGCTTGTTTCTGTTTGTTATTTCTACCACTTCTATGCGCTCGAAATCAAAAACCAATTATCAGTGAAATAACAAGTCGTTTTTGTTAATTCATGTCAACTCCATATATCTAAATTTTACATGAAGGAAAAGTTCTTTTATTTTTCTCAAAATAGGTCTATAATTTAAAGTAGAAAGTTACTAGCCTTAATTTTTTGCATAAAATTTTCAGAATTTTCAAATGATTATAAGCCCTATTGCATTGTATAGCATTCAGCTAATAGCTACATTTAGCTATTTTCAGCTATCAATCAAAATAAAATATAAAAGAGTAAAGCGATATTTTAGTACTTCATAAATTTGGCCATAATATTGCGCCCGTCGCTCACTAACTTCTTCTTGTTTCACATTTTCTTCAGCATCATGTTCACTATGTGAAATAAATCCATCATCTATAATTTATTAAATTTTAACAAATGAAGTGAGGTATGTTTAAGCTATGCTTGCGCCTTATTTAATCTTTCCTTTCCTGTGTTGTCATTGAAGTAAGGTATTTTGAGGAGTGATGCCGTAAAATTGTTTCAAAACCGAGTTCAGAATCTCATTAATGTTGAACTTTCTGCTCAGTCCTATTGCTCTTTAACTTTTTTTCTTTAACTTTAACTTTAACTTTACAACTTTTTCGAAAGTAAAGTGCTTTTTTTCTAAACTTCCCAAAGGATTGATCTCAAAAGTGTTGCAAACAATGAAAGAGTAACGAAAAACTGTGTTACACTTAAGAATTTACTTCACTGATCTCATCGTTATTCAATCATATTTGCATTAATGATATCAAGAAATGCATTTCATTAGTTTAATAAAGTATTTGGAAATTTTTAGGAAATATTTCTGGGAAAGAAAACTAACGATTCTTGTCGATTTGTTCGAATTCATACTTCTTCATGATCTCATAGAGTAAATCTAGATGAAGGTACTCATCAAACGACAACTTATTGTCACCATTTCGATCTGATCGCGAGAATTGTTCCGCTGAATTTGAAAACAATTGAATGAAAATAGAAGTAATTAAAAGTACTGAAAAAAGAGTGTAGTAGTAAATGACAGGCACCGAAAAGTGTAAAAACTTGTGAGCTTCATTTTCAGGAGAAAGATTTTTTTTATAAATTTAAATAAAAATTTTAAAATATGAATGGCAATTTTGCGAGTTAGAAAGTATTCGGGATAAAATTTTCAGTTTTCAGTTCTGATGCAGGAATTTTTAGGACTTAACATCATATGTCCAACTCCGAACGAAAATTTCAAACATACTGTTACTCTAAAATTTGATTTAGTAATAGAAGCTGTAAGCATGAGATTTAAAATACATCATGGTGAGACGAACCAGCAGTTTCATGCGGGAAATCCGAACTGATGCTTTCGGGAATTCTAATTGTGATTGTCCTCGAGTTGACCAGATAAACGGAACAAAGTAGTAAGTGAAATGATAAGGTAAGCATTCTCTTCATCTATGATACAACCTGAATTGAATTGGAGCTGCTCTCCTGATAATGAGGAAGATTAAAAGAATAACTGAAAACGCCTAGATGTTATTATATGTGAAGCTTTTTTATTTGCAACAAGTATACAAAAAAAAAAAAAATTACGAGCTAGTTAAATATAATGAATTAGAAAACTTGAGAAGAAAAACAAGTTTAAAAGAGACATAGAGTGAGATCTGATACTGTAAATGGACTTT